GTGGTTAAGCAAGCATGGTCAATCCAGCATCTGGGAACTCCTCTATTCATTCTCAAGGAAAAAATCAAATGTACTATATTTGCTCTACTTCAGTGGAGTTCTCAGTTTAGAAAGCAAAGGCTTGGCAGGATAAATGATCTTACTACCCAACTTGAGGCTTTAAAAGCTGATGGAAGAGATACGGACTGGGATACTTGGGATAAAATAATGAGAGACCTTAATGTAGCCCACAACCATGACGAGCAATACTGGCAACAAAAGGCCAGGCATCTTTGGCTTAATCATGTTGACAACAACTCAAGCTTTTTTCATGCTTATGTCAGACACAGGAGAAAACTGAACTCAATTACCAGACTCATGGACATGAACAACATGAGTTTTCAAACTCACTAAGAGATAGAAAACCATATCACAGATTTTTACAGTACTCTCTTCACATCTGAAGGCTCATGGGGAGAAGATAATTTGTTGCATCTTGTTCCACAATCTATCACTGCTGATATGAACATGAATCTTCTTTAACCAGTGGATGATGAGGAAATTAAGATAGCTCTCTTCAGTCTTGCTCCTGAAAAGGCTCCTAGGGAGGAAGGTATGAGTCCGATTTCTTACCATCACTTCTGGGCTGAGATTAAACTGGATTTTTTAGCTGCTGTCAAAAGTTTTTTCTCTTCTGGCATGTTGCTCAATACTGGAATCAAACCCTTATTACCTTGATACCCAAATGCAAAAACCCTGAAACCATTGACCAGTTCAGGCCAATCAGCCTTTGTATTGTTGTCTATAAGACCATCTCAAAGCTCCTTGCTACTAGACTGCAATCATGCCTTGACCCCTGCATAAACCCTTGCCAATCTGCTTTCATCAAAGGCCTAGACAATGTAATAATTGCCCAAGAAGTTTTTCACTTTCTGAATAGGCACATGAATGGCAACCAGTGCTTCATGGCTTTGAAATTAGACCTGATGAAGGCTTTTGACACAATTGAATGGAAAAGCTTACATGGAATTATGATTAAAATGGGTTTTGCTCCTCCATTTGTGAAGCTGATTCTGGAATGCCTATCATCCACCTCTCTTGCTTTTAATATCAATGGTCATATTAGCAAAGCTGTTTTTCCGACAAGGGGCATCAGACAGGGTGACCCATTGTCTCCATATATCTTCCTTATCATTGTTGAGCTCCTTTCATCCATGCTTTCCAATGCTATTCAAGCTGGCACCTTATCTGGTCTGAAAATATCAAGGGATGGACCTATTCTCTCTTACCTGTTGTTTGCAGATGATGCCTTACTCTTCTGTAGGGCGGGGGTGGATCAAGTGCAGAATTTACTAACCATTTTGGAGAACTTCAGGCTATATACATGTCAAAAAGTGAATTTACACAAATCTTCTATATTCTTCAGCAAGAACTCCCCCCATACTCTGCAAGCATTGATATGTTCTCACCTTCAGGGGATTAGCAGACATCAATCCACCATGTATCTTGGGCTCCCTCTTGGCATAGGTAAATACAAAAAAGAAGCCTTTGATTTTGTCCTACAATCAGTAAAAGCCAGATTGAACAGTTGGCACTCAAAATTGCTCTCTCATGCTGGTAAAAAAGTGCTCATCAGAGTTGTGTTAAATGCAATTCCTATATTTACCATGGCTTGTTTCAAACTCCCCAATTCTATCATTAAGGAGATTTCAAGGCTCTGTGCTACCTTTTGGTGGAGTAGGGGGGAAAATCAGGAGAAAAGCATACAATGGAGATCATGGAGCAAAGTGACTATTCCAAAAGGTGATGGAGGTCTTGGTTTTCAGAATATTAAACTATATAATGAGGCCCTCATCTGCAAACAGCTCTGGAAAATCACATCCCAGCCTCAGCTGCTTGTTAGCAAAGTTCTAAAAAGCAGGTACTATCCCTCCACTTCCATCTTTGATGCTACTAAATCCCACAACTGCTCTTGGCTTTGGAGCTGCTGGTTGAAGGTTTTTCCCACTTTTGCTAAGGGTTTTAGGATACAGATTGGGAATGGCGACTCTACTAAGATCTCTAACATTAATTGGATCCCCTCCCTCTCTACTCCTAAACCTAAGTTTCTTGATATAGTTGTGGGTCATCTGATCTGGGTCAAAGACCTCTTATCAACAATGGCTTAAGCTGGAATTCTTGGTTTGTGTCTCAAGTCTTTAATGCTGAAGACAGTCAAGCTATCTTAAAGATCAAAACTTTGCATCCTAACAGAGAGGACAAGATATACTAGGGCTTTGATAGGAAGGGCCTTTTCTCTATGTCCTCTGCATATTCTTTCCTTGTTAATCATAAATTGCAGGTTATGGATACTCCCCAGAGCAGCTCTCAACATCATTCTATTTCCAAAGCCAGAACATGGATATTGAAAATTCATAACAGCTGAAGCACATTTTATGGAAATGTTGGACCAACACTCTCTCCGTCAAAGAAAATCTACTAAAGAAATGAGTACAAGTTGATCACATTTGCTATTCTTGTGGAGAGGATACTGAGACAGTGAACCATGTTTTTTTCCATTGCCCTAGAGCTCAGCTATTATGGAAGCTTAGTCCTATATTATGGGAAGGTACTTGTGCTGCAGAGACCAATTTTAGATCATGGTGGTGGCAGGTGTGTTCCATAGCCAATTCAGATGTTGCCGAAGCCGTATTCGGCTCTCAACATACCTTCTTTGGTGGCTTTGGAAGTCACGTAATGTATGGCTCTTTCAAAACACTCTTATGTCGGTCCCAGCTTTGATCAAGTCTGCTATCAGAGATTGGGGAGAGTTTGCATCTGTCTTTGTCCAGTAAATTAGTTGCTTGTTTGTTTTCTTGGTGTTTGTTTGGTTCTCTTTATCTTGTTATCCTTTTTCGGGTTGTTTTTGGTTCGAATTAGTCTTATTTACTAGGCTTTTGCAGTGGTACGTTCGACTAGTTTTGGTTTTCTTTGGCTTTCTTTCATGTTGATCCCATTGGGGGATGTCTAGGCTGCTTTTTAGCGTGTCCTCCCTATTTTATTTTTCGGCTGTGGGCCCCGTCTGTATTGAACTTATGTTATCTTTGAGCTTTATAATATCCCTCTTTCGTTCTGAAAAAAAAGAAAAAGTTGATCTAATATCAAGTTCAAAATCCTCCTTTTATTGATTTTGTGTTTCAAGAATTTAATCTTATTTTGAAAACTTAAAACACATTATTCAATATATATTAAATGGCAGAAGCACCTCCAACACATTATATCATACAAATTTCATATTATTTTTTGGAGTTTTATCAATACAAGGCCCGAAATATAGGTAAACTATCAATGCGGGGCCTGAAAGATTTTTTTTCTCAATCAGGACTTAAATGTAATAAAACTATCAAATTAAAGACCCGAAAGATGGGTAAACTATCAATGCGGGGCCTGAAAGATTTTTTTTTTCTCAATTCGGAACTTAAATGTTATAAAACTATCAAATTAAGTCTAAATTATCAAAACTCATAACACCATTAAATTTAGAGTAAAAAAAACAAAAGATTGGTGTTTAAATTTTCAAAAAAATAAAAATAAAATATTTAATTATTACATTTTATTTTCATATTACATTTTTAAACTATCAATGCATATGAATGAAATTTCATTAAGCATAATAGTCAATTTAAATATAAAAATCATATTAATTATTTACTTAATATAATTACTTGCTTTATTCTTTTTAACAACAAACACAAATATTTATGAGGACAATAATATTATAAACACTCAAGAGTACGACTAGTTATAAATTATGTAAAAATGTTTGAATGAAAAAGTGAGTTAAATAGTAGAAAAAATTGATGGAAGAATGCAAAATTTTAAAAAATGTGAATGAATATGAAAATAAAATGTAATAATTAAATATTAATTTTTTTTAAAACTCTAGATTTAATGGTGTTATGATTTTTTTTTTTTTTTATTTCTAGTCTTAATTTGATAGTTTTATAACATTTAAGTCCCGAATTGAGAAAAATAATCTTTCAGACCCCGCATTGATAGTTTACCCATCTTTCGAGTCATTAATTTGATAGTTTTATAACATTTATGTCCTGAATTGAGAAAAAAAAATTTCAAGCCCCGCATTGATAGTTTACTCATCTTTCGAGCCTTGTATTGATAAAACTCGTTAATTTTTTCTTATTTAGATTTTTCAAATTTAGTTAACTTTTTACAATAGTAAATACATTAAAGACAATATTTATTTGATATTTTGAGATACTATTTTATTTTTGGTTAAATAATTTTAGCACGAGCAGATTTCTAATCCTGCCTCCGCCCCTGGAGGTAAGAGATAGATGTGGTGATTTGTATTCATGTTGAGATTATGTTGTCAATTATTATTAGAAATATATTGCATAGTATTCTTACAGTTAGCTTGTTGTTTGCTCACTCCCGCTATTTATATCTTTTTCAGGTTGAGTTGGTTGCCGTGGCAAATGAGGGACAAGTGTTTTCATTTATTTGTTTGTGAACTTTGTTGATCTGCTTCCGCTTATTTTGTTTCTCAAAAACTTATTTTGGAGTGGATAGTTTTTGAAACTTTGAACTAGTTGAATTATGATATGAGATTATCGTGATTTATGATTGGTTATATCTCGTTTGTTGTTATGTGGAGTGAACAATGAGTTCCCAATGGCTTTGGCTTAAGTCGAGAAAAGGATAAAATGACCTGAGTAATGCCCGTTAATTGGTTTTACATTGGGAAATGATTTTTGAAAAATTTATTCTCATTTTTTAAAACTTGAGAAATTCCTTTTAAAAAATTTTAACGGGGCATTACACTAAGCCCCTTCATAAACAACATAAACATCAGGCGATGACCAATATCCCCTTCGTGAAATGACTGAAAAATATGTTGAAAAAAAAAATGGAATTACAAGATAAAAAATCCACGGGCTCTATGTAATGTTCGATAAATATTACAAATAAAAAGCAGAGGGTAGGTAAATTAGTTAAAGGCTATATAAGCACATGAAACGTTATTAGTTGCTCACTGGTGGTGAAATATCCAGTGGTACACCAGGTGTAGGCTCAATTACCTTCACATCCTGTAGTTCTTTCGACAAAATTTCCTGAACTCGTATAAGCAAATATTAACTGGCTGTTAATGTTTAGTGTACAGACATAACAACAGATGTAAACAAACTGTACAAGAAAGTGTTCAGGATTAATGGTACACAACATCAAATATTAATCGTCATCCCAAGTTAAAAGTTTCTTACGACATCATGATGAAGTATAGCTTGTGCATTCACAGAAGTTCAGTACTAATGTTATATAACATCAACTCACCCATCCCAAGTTATAATATTTCTCCGACGTTGTGATGAAATATAGCCCGTGTATTCAAAGATACCAATTGTTAAAGCAAAAAAAACCGACTTTCTATTTATTTATTTGGTGCAACAAAAAATGTGTGAGAGAGAATAATTCATAAACCAATGAAGCGATAGACAGAGTGGGACAGAATTCATTATTGAACTGTATTTCTTTTAACATGTTTGCATTGCCAAACAGAGTTTATTGGTTCAAACCCGCATAGTCATCAGGAATAGGTTAAAATCTTTGGGAATAGAACAAGCTATGGCTACATCACAACCATTTACTGGGCCCACAATGCCAAATCGTATAGTTTTGTGCCCATAGTGGACTACCGAGCATGTTGGGCCAGAAGAGGGACAAGATTAGTCCAACCCTTATCGGAAATGTAACATATAAACTCGGCCTAGTCTGATATCAAGCCAACCTAACACGACTAAATTTTCCCTTTCTAATTTCATTTATATCATCGTCCTAGTTCAAAGTTAAATAAATAACCAGTCTATTTCTAACAATAATATTAGGCTCAATATAACTAGTCATAATTTAGAGATCAAATATTTCTCATCCCATACCTTGAAAGATGCCATGGTTCCTTCACTTTGAACAAGAACAGAAAGAAGACCTTTGCTATCTAGGTCGCCGTTTTTCATTGGAACAACAAACCTGAAAAAGGAGCCAAAATGTAACATATTCACGTCTGCTATCAGAGTGGATAATAAATTACAAAATACACTCGACCTCTGCTGTGATCACTGATAAAGGAACAAAAAGTATTGCCCCTGTGAAAATTAAAAAAATAAATCATTCGTTTTTGTTTCTACAATGTAAGGTAATACTCGTCATTTTCAAAAGATAACTGGGTTTTAATGTAGTTAAACCAAACTTGAACGTGAGTTTTCGTAATGTTTCAGACGACATTATCATTCGGCAATTAGTAGCTTGATAATTACAGGACATACTTGGCCTGGAGCAACTTTGCAAGCCTGACTGCATCCTCTTGTCCAGATACCAAAGTGAAATTTGGCAAAAGTTGTTTAATAACAGGTGTAATAACAATGTCGGCACGTTCTTTCGCCAAAAACTTGTCGTTGTAAACACAGTGTGGTTCATAGTAAAGCCTCAGCTTTCCTTTTGGAGATATGACAATGTAGCTGCATAACATTTTATTTTATTTTTTTAAATAGTTAGTGAAATATTTATTTAACATTTATGGAACAGAATGTACCCATTCTCGGGCCGCTTCCAAGGTGGGCCTAAAGTGGGGCCTGCAGTGGCTCGAATGTTGACAGCATTACAACCATTGTTGACTTTGATCTCTGATTCCTGACCAGGCTCTAGGTATGTAACCTTACATATTATGTAGGGTAAATGTTAGAGAGAAGCCCAAACCAAGAAATATCTAAGGTCCGCCGTGCTTTATCATCTATTGATAAAATTATTTAATGTCGTTATACGAGCAGTTATTGACTTATGGAATAGGATTTGATCAGTTTCCATTTAAAAAGGCGAGAGCTGTATAAGAGAGTCATTTAGACAAAATATGTTGCATCAAATAATAAAACAAAATTAAGGTATTGTGCAAATACAGTTCATATCGAATAACTTCCTGAACTTCTTTGAATTTGTGTAAGGGGTGATTGTCAAACAATATAAGTATAAAAATTAAATAAAAAAAAACAAAAATATCTAAGAGCAAAATAGAGTAGTTCCTTCCCTCAAAGATATTTTTTATTTTTTAGTTTTTCCTTTTTGTCTTTCAGTGTTTGCAAACACCCCCTTAACGAAAAAGTGTTTTGACAAACATTTTCCTGGGATATGATCCCAAGACACACTCTTTTCTCGTTGCTTCAGTTTGGCTATTGACACAGTTTTCTCCCATAAATGAAAAGACAAAAATTAGATTGTTGCTTGAAAGAAACCATCACAAATTTTGAGCCTCAATGAGATAATTTATGCACAAAGAAATCAGCGTTGGCATAATATAGCTCGTCATGGAACATGAACTTGCTTACATCCTAGAAAACAAACTGCAGTCTCTTCACTATTAGGCATTATCAGACATAACTTTCTCAATATTCAAGTAGGCACATAATATATAGCTAAAATCACTTTAACTCACATTGCTGAATAAAGGATCCAAAAGCGCTTTAGCATTGGGAGTGGCAATAACACTCAAATTCGATAATTTTTTAGAAAGGGGCTTTAATGTCTTCAAGTGGCAGTGATCGTCAAGGCTTTGCGTGATTAGTAAGCAGTCGAGTTCAGGAAGGTCATCAAGCTGCAGTCGTCGGACGAAAGTATCACTTACAAACTTGATTACAAACTTGAAGAATGAATTGATGGTAATACCTTAAAATTTCTCAAAAACTTCTTTGCAGCATCGTATAGCCATGGAATTCCAAAGTCCAAATTACCCACCAAGATTGGGTCAACCAATATTTTTGCCCCTCCAACTTCCCATAACCAGCTATTACCCTGACACTCAAATGAAGAAAAAATAATTCCATACTCAAGAAATTGAAAGTCAAACGAAAGACTCATCAAGAAACTAAAAGCCCACCTCCAAATAAGTGAGTTTAAAAACATCAGACTCCGAGTCACTCGACTCAATCACTTGCTCGTCTGATACAACAGCTGAAACTCTCTCGTTCAATCTGTATAGTAAACAAATGAGCTCAAATTTAACTTACTTCTTCAACTTAGCTAGAATACATAACTAAGATGCCCAAATCCCCCAAACTTGAACGAAAACCCAAAATGCCCATTGAAAAAGAGAGTGAATAAAATTAAGTGAGCAAAAACCTGGGAACTGAGAGCTTCAGTGGTATAGAATAGATGGGAAATAGATGAGTTTGGTTAGAGTGGATGATATGGACTGTTGAAAACGGAATCCTACGATTAAATTTCTCAACACATGGTTTGCGAGTGAAATGGTGGGAATAATTGCAGTGGGTGGCCATGATTGCCCCAAGTTTGGAGTGTAAGCTCAATACGGGCATAAATTGATCCCCCTTTTTTAAAGAGAA